TGGCATGATCTATCCTATGGGCGGGCATTGACCTTATGCAAAGCGCTGAGTCAATGGTAGGTGAATGAGGACAAATTGATCACTAAAAATGCTCAGCTGTTGCAATCCAAATTCATGCATTATGAGTGAAGCTAGAACCGAAAGAGCAAACGGCAACAATTATTAAGTGTCTCTAAGCTATGATAGAACACACGCATAATATAACTGGATGTTACAGGTGAATTGAAGTGGAATGATTGAGAGGGATTGAGCAAGGCTCATTCCTGCGTTGGTTTTAAACAGAGAGATGTTCATTTCGCATGCAACTACAGTTAGCATTCTTGAGTACTAGTAATAACAAATGGGAGGTGATCAAGGAAGTGAGCATAGCTCGGTCGATGGTGTGGATCAGTGGATGTACGCCTATACCACCCAAGTTTGAATCCCCATCGAAACGAATTTTGGTGCCTATTTAATTTCTGCATAATACAAAGTCAACCTAGTTCAGAAAATGCAACTTCAAGAGCGCTTAATGCTTTGTACTATCAAAAACCAATTATGTATTATTGTATAATGTTACTCCCTTCGTTTCAGGTTATAAGTCTGCGTTCCTTGGCACGGAAAACGGAGCAGCGATTAGCGGATGAATAATTAAGTATTTGCTATTTTTTAAAAAAATAGATTAATATGATTTTTTAAGCAACTTTCATATAGATTTTTTTTAAAAAAAAACACACCATTTAGTAGTTTGAAAAGTGTGCGCGCGGAAAACGAGGGAGGCAAGTTGGGAACGGGAGGTAACGAACGCAGCCTAAGACGTTTTGACTTTGGTAAAGTTAAACTACTTTAAGTTTAACCGAGTTTGTAGAAAAAAGTAGTTACATTTTCAACTCAATACAAATTTATTATGAAAATATATTCAATTATTGATTTGATGAAACTAATTTAGTATTATAAATATTATTATATTTGTCTGTAAACTTAGTCAAACTTAAAATAATTTGACTTTGTCCAAAGTCAAAACGTCTTATAACCTGGAACGGAGGGAGTACTATTCTTGAATCTTCCATTGCCATTTCAAATGCTTAAAGTATATATCCTAAACATCTAATGAGCCTAAAAGGAACATAAACATTTCACGAAGTATTGACTTCTCTATGAGACAAACACTAAAAAAAACAGCGCAAATGTGCATGGCATTCTGTTAGTTGAAATTTGATATATCTAGGTGTTGGAAACTATTAATCCAGATTAAGATCCTCTGACGTAACTTCCCACTAATTTGGTGGTTGATATGTGGGTCTGAAACATTAATATCAGGGGATCCTCTTCCCATTAATCTATAGTACACTAAGGGCCTCATTTTTGTCACCCTCTATATAAGCTTACGAAAATTCAAGGAGTACCGTTCATTATCTTTTTGAACATTGTTAATAAATTGTAAAATAAATCATACAAAATTTATTTTCATATCTAAACCTTTGTCCATTTGACCATGCGGCCGTGCCCGTTGAAGACAACAGTCTGGCAAATCACTTCTGCCACCATGTCGTGGCCATTAAAATTTATTTCTAAAACTAAGGTATTTGATTTTTCAAAGAGAAGTTCAAAATTGGAATACTTTTTGTTGAAGAAAAACATACGACATATCGCAGACCCAAGCAGGTCAGGTTTGTCAAAAAAAAAAGGATAATTAAATGTTAGACTAGTAAGGTTCATAAAATAATTGTTAGGCTAGCTAGTGAGGCCAAGTTAATAGTTTTCAGGGAGTATCCATTCCATTTCAGAATACGGGGGGTGTTTGGGGTCCCTCTCACTGGAAAATAAGTCCCTCCCTATCTCATAAAAAAATAAGGCCCCCCCCCAAACACCCGCTACAAGTAGTTTTGATTTTGCTTTAAGTTAAACTTGTTTAAGGTTGAACAAGTTTAAAAAAGAACATAATATCATCTAAAAACAAATTAATATTACTCCAGATTCATCATTGAATATGTTTTTATAATATATATTTTCGATGCTAAAATTATTGCTACACGTTTTTATATAAACTAAATTTAAAAAGTTTGACGTACCTAGGGTGCGTTTGAACCTACGGGTTCTGAAACAGTCCCCGATCCTTAAAACGGGACGACAGATTAACACATGATTAATTAAGTATTAGCTAAAAACTGATTAATATGATTTTTTTAAAAAAATTCTTTTAAAGAATTTCTCTTTGAAAAAAAATAAATCGTTTAACCGTTCAGGAAGCGTAAATGTGGACAACGAGGGAGTATAAGTTGGGAGTATAGAACATATCCTTAAAAAAAACTATGGCTTATTATTTGTGACTTGCCATATTTATCTTTGCATCTTACCTTGCATGTTATGGACTTAATTCATTATCTGATTTTGTCACAAGCATGACTTACAATTTATAGGCCTTAAAAAATATGGTAAGTCATACTTATCTAAAGTGAGTTAGTTAAGCCACCTGACATTTCGAAACTGAAACGGAGGGGGTTATCAACCTGACGACGATGAGCAGCAGCGACGCTTCGGCTTGCCTCCCACACTGTGCACGTTGCCAACTGCACATCGCAATCTGCATCTTTGACTCGATCTGAACGTCTGCGGCTATCAGATGATCACCAAAAGAGTCCAATCCTAGCTCCCTGTTTCAGCACACCCCGCAGCGGGATTGCCTTGTCAAAACCAAAAACCACCAGAAACTTGACGTTCCCTACCATTACACTAGCCCTACAAGTAGTCATCAATGAAAAACGTACTCCTTCTACTCCCATTCCGGCCACAAGAAAAAAAGAATGCACTGTATATCATCCTTACTCTCTTTGCCATCCCAAAAGTGCTCACCGACCTTCTGTTCTAGAGTAGTGTTCTTTAATCCTTCTTACTCCAATTACTTAAATATATACTCACTCCGTTTCTAAATATTTGACGCTATTGACTTTTTTAAATATTTTTGACTGTTCATCTTATTAAAAAAGTTAAATAATTATTAATTCTTTTCCTATCATTTGATTCATTATTAAATATACTTATATGTATATATATAGTTTTACATATTTCACAGAAAATTTTAAATAAGATAAACGGTCAAATATGTGTTAAAAATTAACAATGTTAAATATTTAGAAACGGAGGGAGTATGATATATCGATCGAAGCGTAGTACCAGTACTACTATTAATGTGTGTGGTGTTTTTGGCCATATCGGTTTTCTTGTGACGTGAGACGTGACAATGCCAACTTTTGCCATGCCGATCGATGAGAAAGAAAGACCTGGACCAAGTGTGTGTGGTGGTGGTGTGATGGTTAATCGGTTAAATATTGTAACACTGGACCTCCTCGCAAAAAGACCGAGCCAGTTCGAACCTTCCCTTCAACGAGATGTCAGCAGCGTCGTCTGCATTGCTGACCAACCGGTGATGCACTTTGACACGCACAGACCGCAGAATCCAAGAGAAAAAAAATATATTTGGTCCATCCATATCGATCGCATAGCTTCCAAGTTCCAATGCGATGCGTTAAATAAACTAGTAAGAGCAGGTACAATAGCAGGTTACAAGTCAGCTGTAAATATATTTTAAGAAGATAAATAAAAAGAGAGAAGAGTAACGGGCTACCTATTTGTAGCCAGCTGTAATATGGACTTCAAGACGTAGTGTGTGTATGACAGGTGGGACCAGGTATTAATAGTATAGTATGTAACTATTGTATGAACGAACTATTAGATTGGCTAAATAAATTGGAGCTAGTAGTGGGCTACACTATTAAACTTGCTCTAAGTGGCTACACTAGTATATGAGCACAGTGCTCGTATTATATACTACTATATCGTGAAGATGATTGGCTTTTGTCACTAGGGATGCCACGATTCTACAATGCGTGTTTAATATGCGACGAAAGTTATGTCCGGTTTCTTGTGTGACGATGAGCGAAAAGGAAACACATATATGCTTCATCAGATCGGTGCAGAGATCTCGCAGGCATGCATGGTGTTGAATCTCTTTTGACGCGCGAGCGAGTTGAAATGGTCCTTGCTAAGTCGTGATTACTAACTGCTGGTTAATTAACACAAAGAGTTCATGCATATGTGTATATGACAGGGAATGAAGAAGCTTCCCCGAAACCGCAATGATGATGTTGACACGGCCATGATCGGCTTTTCTTGCTTGCTTGATGACTATAACCTCTGTCGTCTTTATGTGATTTACTGGTTGCAGCTATCTAGCTAGGACAGGTGCCGAAACACCCATCCCGTTCTGGTAATTAGCAGCGGTAGCAGGCAAAGCAGCTAGCAATGGCTAAATGTGGCTAATTAGCTAGCTGATGATCTATCGCTAATCCCAGTATCATCCCCCATGTGCTCCAAGCTAGAGGAGCACCCATAGAATAAGATCGAGGGATTAATTATCTAATCAGTGATCCGGTGCAAGCTAGCTAGTGCAGCTAGCAAGACAGAATCTAATCATCCATCCACTCCTAGCTAGGCTAGCCGCCTGCATCCACACGGCTCCCGTCTCCCTTGCTGCTCGATCGGCTACCTCTTGGAACGGGTCGCGCGCGTGCGTGCGAGCGGCTGGTCCATGTCCATGTCGCGCGCGCGCGCTCTCGCCCGTCGCGCGCGCGCGCTCTCGCCCAACCACCGCGGCGTCGTCGCCGTCGTCATCGCCATTCATCACGCTCGACGGGGGACGAAACAGAAAGCGCCCGGCCCGGACACGTGCGGCAGCACAGTACACATCATGCGCTTCTCGCCGGCCGTTTCGATATTATCTTCGGATAGATAGGCTAGTGCTAGCTAGACAGCTAGCCAAATCAACATGTTCATCAGAGTTGATGGATATATGCATGCATGCATTTTATCTCCATTAATTGTGAGGGTCTCACGAAGTCACAAGTCACAGACAGTAACTGGTGCGTGTGATCATCTTCTTCTACGTCTAGTAATTGGCTAGTTAAGACTATGTAGTACAAGTATACTACTGCATTAGTTTGAACGATCAGTGAAAGAAAGCCTGTCCTTGTCGCATGGAAGGAAAATAGTCACACGCTTGCTGAAAATTTTACAGTAATTGGACTACTGGCTGGTAGGCGGAAGAACAGAACAGTTGCTAATTGGCAATCAACATCTAATTAACCTGTCTGTGGAACAGCCGTAGTACAGATAGGATAATGTACATGTAATAATCTCGTCGGGAAGAAGGGGGAGAAAAAGATGATCAGGTAATCAATCAAGAAGAAGCTAGCCACGCAACAACTTGAGACTAGTCGTCATGGATCACTCGAGCACTCTCGTTGGATGGATGGATCATTAGTGTCTGACTTGTCATGTCAGGCTGTGGCACAGCCCGGCCGGCTTGACGATGTCCGTGGCCGCCGGCCACATCTCCGCCGCCGCGGCGTTGGGGAAGTAGCACGCGGAGAGCTCCATGGACGACCTGTCCTGGAGCAGCGGGCCGAACCCGCCGAAGAGGTCGCCGTTGGGGAACTCGCCGGCTCCGACGAGCTCGGGCAAGAACACGTCGTCGAGGGTCACGCCGCTGGCCCAGCAGTCGGCGGCGGTAGTAGTGGGAGGTGGTGGCACCTGGCAGATCAGCTCGTCGAGCGGCGAGCGCTGCGCCGCCACCGCCGCCGCCGCCGCCGCCGTCGCCACGGAGGTGTACCCCGCGACCGCGAGCGTCGCCGCCTGTGGCGCCTGCTGGGTTGACGGGGAGGGGGAGTACATGGCGGCGGCGCCGAAGCTGCACGCGTCGCCGCCGGACGAGGAGGCGGACGCCGGCGACGGCTGCATGGACGCGCATTGGCTCTGCGGGGCGGGCGGAGGCGACACGAGCGTGACGCGCGCGCCACCGCCGGCGACACGGTGGTGGTGGTGGTGGTGGTAGTGTTGCTGCTGCGGCGGCGGCGGCTGATGATGATGATGCATGGCCATGGCCTTCTTCTTGAGCTTGGTATTCCAGTAATTCTTGACGTCGTTGTCCGTCCGGCCGGGCAGCTTCGACGCGATGATGGACCACCTGCGATTTGTAGGCTATAGCTGTTACACACCACCCTGCAGACTAGCCTAAACTCTAGCTCTGATAATTGACACATATCGTGCAGATCTGTAGCAATACCTGCTTCCGATGGAGTTGTAGAGGGAACAGATGATCCGGTCCTCCTGGTCGGTGTAGCCGCCGTGCTTGATGTCCGGGCGGAGGTAGTTGAGCCACCGCAGCCTACAGCTCTTCCCGCACCGGTTCAGCCCTGCCACGATCGGTCACGACCTCTCTCAGTCACCAAGCCGGCCGGCTAGCCAAAAACGAGAACGATAAACCGGGGGTACGTACGCACCTGCTTTCTGCGGGAGCGCGATCCAGTTGCCACCGGTGCCGTGGCTGCGGACGTAGCTCCGCAGCAGCTCGTCCTCCTCCGGCGACCACGGCCCCCTCTTCACGCTCGCCTTGTCGCAGCACGGCGCCCTCCCCATCCCGCCGGCCTCGTACCAATCCAAGCACGCGACGTGGGCGCGCGGGGTAGAGCGAGCTGACCGTTCTCTCACTCACTCTCCCTCCGGCTCTCTCTCCCTGCCACGACGCACGGGAGAGGAGTGGAGGAGCGTGTCGCGTGGCTGCTGCTGCAGCTGCGGCCTGCAGGCGCGTATCTGCTTGGAGCGGCGTGCGTGCGATGCAGCGTGGCAGCTGGGCAGGCTGAGGGCTCAGACTATGCTGCACCGGGGGGCGGGCTTTATAGCGGGCGCGCGCACTCGCTCTCATCATAGACAGCCATCTCTCTCTCTTTCTCTCTGGCGGTAGCCGGCACTGGTGGGGCAGCGCAGGTGATACCAGCTACGCGATCTCGTCTCCGAGTCGACTCGACCGGCCGAGCCGCGGGGTGCGGTGTCCTTACGAAAAAAGTATTGGTTTTTTTCATGGTAGTGTAGAGCCTCGCTGTTGACTAGAGGAGAGACGCGAGACGTCGTCTCGCTCGCTTGTGTTTTACTTTTCGGGTACGGTCAACACACACAATTCAATTCTTCCGTCTTCTTGTACTACTACTTTTGTAGTATACGACGGTACGACTACGAGTATATACTATACTAGTAGTATTTTGCTTTCCACCACCGGCACGCGGCCGGAGAATTGGAGAGGAGCGTCACCTCCTTGCACTAAAAAAACGAGGCAGTGTGGCGCATTCACGAAATCACTACTGTTCTTGCCAAATGCGTTTCGATCTTCTCCGCGGATAGGTCGACGGGAGTACCGCGCATGTGTAAATACTGCGAAATTATTTTGCAACTTTGGACTTAAGCAGAGCCAAATGATCCATGTTAGCTCTGCACTGAAACTGGAAGGGTAGAGTTCGAGTTTCAGATATCCTCCTCCATTCTCTAGAGATTCAGACAAAGCCATTCTAAAACTCTGCTATGTTAGCTTTACCGTCTCCCTGATCGAATCCAGTCGCGAAACGTGTCGGTTTCTACTCGGTTGACAAACACATAACGCTTGTCAAACTCGCGCCCACGCAGATAAGGCATTCCAGTACGGTCTAGACTAGAGAAAAGGGCTAGGGAAGGGGCATGGCTATACACAATTGTTTTATCAGAGAACGCGAGAATTATAAGCATTTTACCACACGAGAAGGTCAAGCGTTCTAACTCACAAGTTTGTGTGCACCCGGTACAGTCTCTGCTTTGCGGTTGCACCGAATCCGTCGTTTGACACCACAACCGTATGGATCGTCACGCTTGACCTTGGCTCTGCCCCTGGAATCATGTCCCGTTTTTAATTGTGTTTAATATCAGTCGCGCAACAAGAGAGCATGTTGGTGGGAAGATAGCCGCGCTGCTTGCTGTTCGTGCTTTGCTGTTCTGTACATTTTGACCAGTGTGATGTTCCGACAGCTTTCAAAGGATTGGACTTTGAAGAACACCCACCACCGAGAGATTTTTAAATGAACCACAGCGCAACAGATTCACATGTCTCGTTGTATGACATCTGATCTGCCTTAGAAAAATTAATAAGACTGGCACATTGTTTCTCCTGCATTGTTTAGTAACTGCACGTTGCAATGCGAACTGGACTTTTAAAGGAACAAGGACGATCATTTTATTCACAATTTGTTTCTCCTGCATCGTTTAGTAACTCCGCGTTGCAATGCGAACTAGACTTTTAACGGAACAAGGACGATCATTTTATTCACAATTCGTTTAGTAATTAAGCTGGGGCCATCTATAAGAAGGAGACGATTTCACTTACCTTTACAAAATGACCTTTTCCAGTTCAAGTGTTCTGAATGGAGCATACATTTGGAAATATGCCGTTCATTTCAACATATTTTACCTTTTGTAGTCTAATTTTTTTAGGAACCTATGAGTGTGTATAGTCTATAGTTCATGTCAAAATTGTAAGTTTGGTTGAAATTTGAACGATGTGATGAAAAAGTTAGAAGTTTATGTGTGTAGAAAAGTTTTAATGTGATGGAAAAATTGGAAGTTTGAAGAAAAAGTTTAGAACTAAACAAGGCCTATATTTTACAACAATAGAGGTATAAAAAAATATTAAATTACATATACATGTTATTTAAAAAATTAATATACATATACAAGAAATGCTGTACTAAATCATGGTCAGGACACCAGTCAAAAAAAAATCATGGTCAGAACAGAAATTGAGCTAGCATTCCTGTTTCACAACTCCCCATCCTCAGTACTACCCAAAAGGAAAATGTGCACCGAAAATCGAGCTACAAAATCATCCCCAACCACAAAACCAGATATATGACATCCCCAACTTTAAAAAAAACCGTTTACTCTAGGTTATTCGGTGGTTTTAACACCAGTTTTATCCAACGTGACAGCTGATTTAGCGTGCGACCCACGTATAGGATGCCATGTCAGCACCCTCTCTCTTCCCCTCCCCTCTCTCTCACTCTTCTTTCGTACCGCTGCCTCGCCGCTGCCTCCGCGCCCTTGCCCCGCCGCCCGCCCACCATGGTCGCGCTCACCGCGGCCAGCCCGTCCTAGCCACTCACGTCGCCGCCTTACTGAAGGAGCGCGTCGACGCGTAACAGCGAGCCTAGGAACCACGGCGACAAGGTGTCCATCTCCATGACGCGCAAGCGCAACATGATGCAGACGCCGCCGTGGTGCAGGTCACCGGCGATGCCGCCGCCTCCGCCTCCAGGAACGGGAACGCGTCGGCGAAGAATAGTGCCGCAGCGGTGGGCACGGAGGTGGAGGCGGGCCGGGTGACGCGGCGGTGCGCCAGCGGTCGGTGGGGGAGGAGGGTCGGCGCGGCGGGCGCGGTCGGTGGCCGACAGGGTAAGAGCCCGTCTCTCGGAGATGGCTGTCGCTCGCCCGCCGCGCCCCCTGCCCCTATGCTCCGCGTCCCCGCTTTGCTCTGCCCGCGCCAGGAGCAGCCGTCGACGACAAGGCCGAGCGGCGTGGAGTCGTCGGCGCCCGCCTCTCCCCATCCGCAGCCGTGCTCGCCTGCCGCTGCCGCCGCTCTCGCCTGCTGACGCCGCCTCTCCGCAGCCGTGCTCACCCACCGACGCCGCCGCTCCGCCACCGCGCTCGCTGCCGACGCCGCCGCTTCGCCTGCTCTGGCCGCCCTTCTGGTGCGGCGGCGGCTCCTTCCCCAGCGGCGACGGTGGCCGATTGAACAGGTGTGCCTTGGGCCGCCCTACCGACGACCACGGCCTCGATCCAGCGCTTTGCGGCACACGAGTACGACGCCAGCGAGCTCGGCCCGTCGCGGTTCTCCGTGGCGTCCGTGCACCGCGTCGGCATCCTCGACGTATGCCTCCTCAACATCGACCGACACGCCGACAACATCCTCGTCAAGAAGTCGCCGGAGAGCAAGTGCGCCAGCGGCGACAGCACGCCGACGCCGCTGGACTTCCTCTACGGCAGCGGCATCGCCAAGAGCGTGAGCTTCTCCGCCGCCGTGCCGCAGCCAGCCCCTCTCCCGCCTCACCCCGCGGCCTCCTCCCTAGCTGCCGGCCGGCTTGCCTAGAGAAGAGAAGAGAAGAGTGAGAGAGAGAGAGGAGGAAGGGAGATAGATTGATGTGGCATCCTGACATATGGGGCCCACGTGGGTCTATGCTGACTCAGCCGTCACGCAGGACAAAACCGGGGCTAAAAACACCGAAGGAACTATTGTGACCGGTTTTAATTAGTTAATGGACGCCGGATATCTGGTTTTGCAGTTGGGGATGATTTTGTAACTTAAGACAAGTTGAGGGACCTTCGGTGTACTTTTTCCACCCCAAAAAGAGCATACTGCATCAGCCCATTAACCATACAGCCCACTACTCGAATCGGCCCACGACAAGCCGCGGCTTCTCGCCTTCTCGGCGCCACCGCCCGGCAGCGCCGCCGGAGCCAAGCTGTGCGGCCACCCGCCCAGGCGGCCCGGCCGCCCTGCCAACCTCCTCCATCGCTTGATCACCATCACCACCCCGCACCTCATCGCCGCCGTCTCACCCCGCCCTCCCCAACCGCCGTCCGGTCAGCGCAACCGACCACTCCCACCAGCCACGGCGGCGAAGCGGAGGCGGGGAAGTAGTAGAAGAAGATGAGCGTGATCGACATCCTGACGCGGGTGGACGCCATCTGCCAGAAGTACGGCAGGTACGACGCCGAGAAGCTCCACGGCTCCGGCGTCGCCGGCGAGGACCCCTTCGCGCGCCTCTACGCCTCGGTCGACGCTGACCTCAACGAATGCCTCGAGGTATTGCACTGTTGCCGCCTGATTGCCTCCCTTCCTCTCTCTCTCTCTCGCATTCTGCCGCAGGCCCGCAGCGGGTGTGATCTGATCTTGATCTGATCGGGTATTCGGGTGTCGCTGCAGAAAGCGGAGGCGGCGAAGCAGGAGAAGAACCGCGCCACGGTGGTCGCGCTGAACGCGGAGATCCGCGGAACGAAGGCCAAGCTCCTCGAGGAGGATCTGCCCAAGCTGCAGCGGCTCGCCCTGAAGAAGGTTATTGATGCTTCTCTAGTCCTCTCTCCTCTGTTGCTCTGCATAGCTAGTCGGTACGTAGATATGCAAGGTGGTTGGTGCGAGGAGCTTGTTCCTGCTTGCACTGTGCTTCAGAGATGTGACCTTAGTAGCTTTCTGGGATGATCACAAGAGTGACGATTTCTAAATTTAGCATATGGCATTAATCGATGATTGAACGCAAACTGATTGCTGTGCCAGGAGAGTGATTCTTATGCTTTGTTTTCAAATGTTTGCTGAGCTCTAGTCGATTTTTTTCTGATGGAAACAACAAGTTGTATTTTTTTTAAAAAATGTGGGGAAGTATAATTGATTTGGAGCAGGTCCAACTAGAACATTTGCAATGCAGGTTACATTGTCTGGAAACATGTATTCTTTGGGTGCGTAAATTAATTTAGGAGTTTTATGCGCTTTCTCAGGGCAGTTCTTCTACAAAGTAGGCCATGCTATTAAGTATTGTTGATTTGGTGAATGTGCACAGTCGTGCAGACCCTGTTTGGAGCAGGAACTCCATAGGGATTTTGTAGGAATTGAATTGACCATTCTTAATGGATGTCATGCTGTCTATGCTTTTACGTAGTTCGTAATGGCAATGCATTAAGAAAAATGCATGTCTCTGGTCGTGGATCTATGTTTTGATTTGCGAGGTTGAGATATATCCGATAGCTCTTAATGTAGAAGTAGAACTAGAACAAAGTTGATTCCTAAGTTCTTCTCTTGAACATTTGGGACATTTAAGTTTGAGTACTCAAGCTGACTGTTGATGACTCCTAATTTACCCTGTGGAAATTCTTCTAGATTCTTTGGTACCATGTGATGTAGGCAATGCATTATAAGAAGGATATCTATATGTCATTTTGTTAGAAGGAAAAAAGGAACAAATGCATAGCACAGGAGCTGTGTTGTTTATTGAGTCGGTAGGTGACTAGGTGCTTGTACTTTATAGAACTTTCCTCGGCATAACAATATTGGACAATTACCTTCATACATATCTTTTGTTTAAAGAACTCAGACATGTATTCAAGGTGTTCCTGGTGCACGTCCAAGTTTTATTTCAGCAAGGCTTTAACCCGAATGGACTGTTCAATTTGGTTGATTTAGTATTGCTCTAAGATTTTCCTTGAAACAAAATACTAGTTCTAAAGATTTTTCTATGCCAATGCCAGGTTAAAGGGCTTTCAAAAGAAGAACTTGCAATCCGTGGTGATCTGGTTACTGCCTTACCTGATAGGATTCAGTCAATACCAGATGGAAGTGCTACATCATCAAAGAAAACTGGATTATGGGGATCTTCTGGATCTCGTGCAGGAACAGGGATTAAGTTTGACTCAACATATGGTTAGTAACCATCGTTCCAATTTATCTTGTAAATATTCCATCTGCTTGGTGTTGTTACATCAGCATCCATCAGTTTTGTTACCCCCTTTTGAAACAACTTGCCAATTTAACATGGTTGTTTCATATTGAGAAAAAGGATGATATTACTGTAATTTACCACCTTTCGTTTTTTCAGATATTTTATTTTCCTCTTTTTTTTGTTGTCTAGTGCTTATTCGGAGATATGTGCAAACATTCTGGATGATATTCCACTGAAAATTGACTTATCTATGAATATGCTGGCTATAAATAGCTGATAACACCATTATATTTGTTCAGTTTTGTACCAGTAAAAAATAAGTCTCTTCTATACATGTGTTATTTAGGAATCTGTTCTGCACCTTAGTCTACGCAATAAATCCTCTCTTACATTTTTTTTATCCTGGTCATGACTCGTAATTTAATCTTGATGTTGAGAGGTGCCTGCAGTGATTTATTATGCTTTCATTGATGTGCGCTGCTTATCATCTGTTCTCACGCATCTGAACTCTGAAGTATTTTCATCCTACAGAACTCCAAACACATGTAGTAGTGCTGATTTATCTTCCTGCATTAGTCACGAGTATTGTTCATTTTTGTGGATTAGTTCTATGAAGTAGTACTAAGTGACTTTCTTTCAGATCTGGAGTGGAAGCTTATATATGTTGGATCGGCTGAGGATGAAAATTATGATCAGCTGCTTGAGAGTGTGCTTGTTGGCCCTGTGAATGTTGGGACATACCGTTTTGTTCTCCAGGTAAATAAGTATATTTTAGTGGCAAACCGAGTACAAGATCTGCATCATGAACTCAGAGACTAGTGTTGAACTTGAATCTGATATGGCATTTCAGTTTCTCAGCTGTGCAGAGACCTGTGCTCATTTTGCACTGGACCTGCTGCATTTTTGCTGCTATCTTGGATGTATGTCTGAATCATGAGAATGATATGCACATTTCCGTTTTCAGGCTGATCCTCCTGACCCGTCAAAGATCCGTAAGGAAGACATAATTGGTGTTATTGTGCTGCTATTAACTTGTTCCTACATGGGTCAAGAGTTCATCAGAGTAGGTTACTATGTGAACAATGACAACGATGATGAGCAGCTTCGGGAGGAGCCTCCTGCGAAGCTGCTGATTGACCGGGTGCAGAGGAACATATTGGCAGACAAGCCCAGCGTCACCAAGTTCCCCATCAATTTCCATCCTGAAACCAGTGCAGGCGCAGGACAAGAGCAGCAGCAGCAACAGCAATCTGGTTCACCTGAAAATCACCCAAACCAAGGTAGCAAGCCCAACCCTGATCAATGAAGTGCTAGTCCCGCTACCCGCATAAAAACCCGCTTGTTAGTGTATTTTCCACATGGTAATACAAAATTTAGAAGAAAAAATGAACTAGAAGTGAGATAAGCGGGCTAAAAAAGCCCGCTTGCCCGCCCAGCTTGCATCCCTAATCCGGGTTGGAAAACTCGCCCCCCCCCCTTTTTTTTTCAATCTGGATGCCTTCTAGGATAGACCGTAAAATCAGATGGAAACCTAGGAGGTTACTTGAACCGTCTGTTGTGATGAAGGTCACATTAGACATCACTAAACTAGAACTTCGACCAGAAGTGCGCATTGGTTAGTCATGTGCATGTAGTAGGTAGACTCTAACATATGCTGCTGAAATGGTGAATCCTTTTGCTGGCGATGATCTGTAAGCTGAATGTTTGCCAGATCCATGCCTGCTTCCCTTTCGCTATTTTTTCTTTTTTTCCGTGTCAGCTAAGGAGCCGACCAAATTTCATTAAGATAAAAGGAGAGTTTACATTTTGTACACGGCATTAAACTGTCGAGCCGGGAAAAACCCGGAAGGGGAAAAGAGGGAAGGAAACAAAAGAAAAAGACGGGATAATTGTAGGGCTACTCACAAAATTGGAAGATACCTGCTGCTCTCCACACTGCTACCTCCTCCTTGATGTCTGCTGAAAGGAGGTCAGCCGTATTGAACTTCTGATCGAAAACCCTCGCGTTACGTTCCTTCCACACGAGCCAGCAAACAAGCATGAAAAACGTATCAAAGGCTTTACTGTAGCGCGTCTGAAAACGAGTCCGTGCGAGTTGCCACCAGTCTGCCAGGGATAGATCTAGTCGCCCGGGGATGTCAAAGTGAACATTGATCCTATCTCTGAGTAGGGACCAAACTCTGTTTGTGTAAGGGCATTTCACCAAGAGATGATGGCAGTCTTCCATATCAATTGAGCAGAGGGCACAAAGTGGGTCATGAGGCCATCCACGTTTGGCGAGATTATCCCCGGTTAAGCAGCGCCCTTTCACCGCCAGCCAGATGAAGAAACACTCTTTCAAGAGTTCTTTAATTAGAAATTGAATAGTTCTTTTAAGAGTTCTGTAAAAAAGTGAAATTATTGATTTAATTTTGATATTGGAATCAATTTTATCTCATTTAATTAGAGGTGCTTGGCAAACAGTAGAACTATAATTGATAGGAGTTAAATGGTGCGAACTTACCTAATTAAAGCCATTGAGGCCTTGTTTACGTAGCTCGAGATTATGAGAAACAACTTGTAAGAATATATAAAAAAACTATATTTCTAGCTTTTGTCTTCTAATTTATTATTTTGGATTCTACAACTACATATTTCTCAAGAATATGAAACATTCAGGGAGTCAAAGATTTTAGAAGAAAATGCAGATGTCAAAAACTCCCCAAACAAAAACCAAATTTGCTGTGGCAAAACTACAAACTTAAGTACTCCATCCGTTTTATATTATAAGTTGTTTGACTTTTTTTCTAATTAAGTTTGACCAAACTTATTGAAAAAATTTAGCAACATCTAAAATACTAAACTAGTTAAAATCTAACATTGAATATATTTTGATAATATGTTTGTTTTGTGTTGAAAATACTAATATATTTTACTATAAACTTAGTTAAACTTAATTAGGAATAAAAGTCAAACGATATAGGGAGTACCTGCTACTACCATACAACTTTGTAGTAGTTACTTACTACTAAGAAAGTTATTGTACATAGATATTTAAATAGAATGTGATTTATGGGATAAGTACTATTTAATTTTAGATCCTACTACGGTGACACAATACGGAGATTTTGGAACTTGAAATGTCAGTCCCACTTGATGATCATCTGGATCGGTTCAGTCGGAAAGGATGAAATAAGGCCATCTCAATTCTAAGAAAACGCAGCAGGTTGACATGTGTGGTGCATGCAGCAGCCCAGCTTCTTGTACTTGTAGGTAGTGTTTGGTTTCGGGACTAAGTGGGATGGGATAGAACCATCCCTGATTTTTGGGTTGGGATGATTCCACTCACATGTTTGGTTTGTAAGATGGGACGATCCCAATTTTTTGTTTGGTTGAAGGGATGAGAGAGGGAAGGGATGGACGCCGTTTGCAATCACCGTCAACCGATCGCCGGATCTGCCACCACAGTCCTCCCCATCGCCGGAGGAAGAGCAAGAGGATGAGCCGACGGCGAGCAAGAGCAAGAGGAAAAGCCGGCGGCGAGCAAGAGGAAAAGCCGGCAGCGAGCAAGAGCAAGAGGAAAAGTCGCCGCCGCTCCTTCCCATCGCCGGATCCGCCGCCGTCCCTCGACTTCCTCCTCGCACGCCGCCGCCGCTCCTTCCCCGCGAGCTCCTCGTCGCAAGCCGCCGCAGCTTCTCCCCATCGCCGAATCCGCCGCCGCCCCATCGCCAGATCCGCCGCCGCCCCTAGACCTCCTCCTCGCACGCCGCCGCCGCTCCTCCCCCGCGAGCTCCTCCTCGCAAGCCGCCACAGTCCCCATCGCCGGATCCGCCGCCGCCCTTTGACCTCCTCCTCGCATGCCGCCGCCGCTCCTCCCCGTCGCCGAATCCGCCGCCGCAGTCCTCCCCATCGCCGGATCCACCGCCGCCGCCCTCCCCACCACTGGATCCGCCGTCGCCGTCGCCGAGCCCCCCGCCGTCGCGGTCGTCGTCGCCGAGCCCTGCGTGGTCGCCGTCGCACGAGCCGTATGCTGCTGCTCCCGAGGGCAAGCAGCACGAGCGCGGTAGGAAGGCGTTGTCATGCCGTTCGCTCGTCCCACCTGGGACGAGTTCGTCCACCACATTTTCCCGGATCGGTTGGTCCCGGATCTGAGAGGAATATTCCTCTCCAGGGACCAACCCATCCCACTCACCCCTCAACCAAACACCCCTAAAAGTGAGTTCGTCCCATCCCATCCCATCCCATCCCCTCAACCAAACACTACCGTAGTAGACATCCACGGGTCCACCAATCCATTGACACATCAAAACGAACTCACTTGTTTGTCTAGATTGATGATGATACGATCGGATGTCCTTTAAGCATGGGTTCCACGAGCACTTCTCTGTAGAGAATTTTCCATTTTGAACTCATGTGTTTGTTTGCATTTGATTTATTTGTCAGTCGTCTGATTTTAGGCTAGTAAATCTTAGCCACTTTTAAATGGCTATAACTGTTTTGAGATTTGTGTACTTATTATAACCCTAATCCTCCCTTGATATAATCACATAAGCACACTGCACACTACATTTAAGGTACTATTTCTTTCTCAAAATATAAGAAGTTTTAGATTTAGATAAGGGTATTAAGGAAATGTTTAGAATTAAATAGAAGAGAGCTGTAATTGATTGAGAAGAAAAAAAAGGTGGATAATTTAAATTGTAGAAGGTTATGATTGGTTGAAAAAGAGAATGTATGTGATAAATTGTTATATTTTGAGTTAAATTTTGAATTCTAAAATTTTTTATATTTCGAAAGGAGGGAGGAATATATACTATAACCTTGTAATGTTGTCTACTTAACATATAATCCGTAATTCTCATGAAGCTCCAACTTTTAATGCACAAATTTGAAACCTTATAGCCCAGTGATGGAGCCAAGAATTTTATCATGTTGGATCACATACCACTGCTTTATATTTAATGGATTTATATGTTAAAAATGAAGAACTACAATAGCATTTGTGAAAAAAAAGCTGTGTACATAGCTCCGTTCGGTAGTACAAGTTCCCAACTCCTCCTTCTCGTTTTCTGTGCGCACGCTTTTCAAATTGTTAAATGGTGTGTTTTTTTTTAAAAAATTTATATACAAAAGTTGCTTAAAAAATCATATTAATCTATTTTTTTTAAAAAATAGCTAAAACTTAATTAATCACGCACTGAAACGCGGCTTCGTTTTTGGTGCCGGGGAGTGAGAGAAGAGAGCCTAACTTCACTGGTCAGCTCATCGATGGTGCTTCCCCGCTAGTAAAACCCTTGTATCAAAACCCATACGTTGATCTCGTCCATTCGTTGGCGCATTTTGTACTGAACTGTTGACTATCCATGCCATTTTTACCGATTAGTCTATCTCAGTCCAAGCCTGAACGTGGATGAAATGGACCTCAAGATCGAGTCATGACAAGACAACGGCCACTTTTTTGTCCTAAAAAAATCTAAAATAAGACATAATATATTTTATTTTAGTATAATAAATCTGAATTGATGTATATCTAAATTTATAATACTATAATATGTTATATTCAGTTTTAGATTTATTTTTTAAGTGACGGAGGAGTACTCGGTGCCGTTTTTTCTCTCCACTTTCCATATAATTTCCGTCGCAATCACGACGACCCAACCGCCTTCCGAGGCAGCGGCCCGAGACAAACACTCGCCCCGATAACTGGAGGCCGCGCGCGCGCGCACGGCCGCACACCCCCCTCCTCCCTCCACTGCTCCGCCCCCGCGCACGCAACAACGGCGACACCGCCGCCAAGGCCCACGCGAGCACGCGCCGCCGCACGCGGCCGGAGAGGGAGAGGAAGCGATGGCCGCGGCCGCGAGGGAGGAGCAGCCGCTGCTGCTGCGGCGGGAGGAGGGGGAGGAGGAGGGTGAGGAGGTTGGGTGGAGGAGGAGGTGGGGGAGCGAGGCCGGGAAGCTGGCGTACCTGGCGCTGCCGATGGTGGCGGTGAGCCTGACGAACTACGCGGTGCAGGTGTTCTCCAACATGATGGTCGGCCACCTCCCCGGCGTCCTCCCGCTCTCCTCCGCCGCCATCGCCACCTCCCTCGCCTCCGTCACCGGCTTCAGCCTCCTCGTCCGTACAACCCCCCAAATTACTCCCCCCAGCTTTTCATTTTTGATTGCTGCCTTAATTTGCAAACATTACTATTAGTATTATCTTGCTTTCGCTGGCTGCATGTATACTTGCATGTCCTCACTGTTGGATTGAGCGATACTGGGAGCCTCTGGGAGAAATGAGTTCGATTATTTGGGCATGCAAGATTTGTGCTTAATTTGTTCTTGGTTAGTTAACTGTTCCAGGATGATCTTGAACAAAAAAGAAACCAAGAAAACGGAAGAGATTCACGAGTTTCCTTTTTCCCATTGTTTTTAGCATCGGTCAGTGTCCAGCTTCCCTGGTGCAGCTTTCTAGCGTGAAAGCCATGTGATTTTCGGAGTATTTTACGGTCGAACACGTGATACTGATCTAGTGGCTTCCTCCTGATTTCCGATTGGTGTAGGGGCTCAATTGGTCTAAGTATTTACTTATTCCAACTGGTTCGCTAGCGACAGCCACTCTGCAGGAATTGTATATTAGTAGGACTCTAAGATGAGTTATCTTTGAGGAATAATCGTCCAAAATGTCTGCTGGCCTCAGCTTAAAGTTTGTTGTCTTTCGGGTAGAAATGGTTGTTAGTCCAAGCGTGCTTTGCATTGGATAAGAGTACAATACTGTGGTACGACCAGGCTACTCGCATGTCATTAGTGTCTCTTCGACTTGTTTAGTCGCTGAGTCACATCATGCAAAGAAGAAACTGATATCGAGATCCCGTTAAATTGAGTTTACTTTGGTCGGTAAACTAGTCAAGTACAATTATTTTTGTAAGTCATAAAGCAGTGCTGATTGTATTGTGCATCTGAACTGAAAACTTACTGACGCAGTACAACTCTAGTTTACCCCTCTCTTTGGTTGCGAGAAAAGAAACGATTCTGATTTCACCTGATACAGCTAACATCATTTGTAAATGCAGATTGGAATGGCAAGTGCACTGGAAACTCTCTGTGGCCAAGCTTATGGGGCAAAACAATACCATACTCTGGGAGTGCACACCTACAGAGCCATACTCACTCTTCTGGTGGTGTGCATTCCTCTATCACTTCTATGGGTTTTCATGGGCAAAATCCTGGTACTCATTGGTCAAGATCCTTTGATCTCGCATGGAGCTGGGAGATACATCGTCTGGCTGATTCCAGGGCTTTTCGCAAACGCGTTGATTCAGCCTATCACGAAGTTCCTTCAGTCCCAGAGCTTGATAATGCCCATGCTCGTTGCATCCGTTGCAACCCTGGTGTTCCACATCCCTCTGTGCTGGTTGATGGTGTTTAAGACCGGCTTGGGGTATACTGGAGCTGCCTTGTCGATAAGCATATCATACTGGTTGAATGTGGCCATGCTTGTGGCTTATATCTTGCTGTCAAGCTCTTGCAAGGAAACACGCACACCTCCAACAATCGAGGCCTTCAAGGGATTGGATGGGTTCTTACGTCTAGCATTGCCATCTGCGCTTATGATTTGGTAACTAATATATAATCTACTTGGTAATGCCTCAACGTTTTTAAGTTTCTGTCTTGTTGTCAGCTAATGAAAATTTCCTCTTCTTTCAGTCTTGAGTGGTGGTCATTTGAGCTACTTATTCTTATGTCAGGACTTTTACCCAACCCCGAGCTACAAACCTCAGTGCTTTCAATTTGGTACGAAATGGTTACCTTTATGTAGTATAATATGCTTATATAAACACTTTTGCCTTATTTTTTTACACATTTTTTTGGCAGTCTCACAAGTATAACTTTACTTTTTACCATTCCTTATGGGCTTGGAGCTGGTGGAAGGTATGAAATACATGGAAGATGCATTATTTTCACTCCCTCAGAAAGATTTTCTGTTTGGTAACAGCTTTTGTAAATTCAATGTTTTAATGAATAGCACACGAGTAGCAAACGAACTGGGTGCTGGGAACCCTGAAGGAGCTCGTTCAGCTGTCTATGTTGTGCTGTCAGTTGCAGTGACAGAGGCACTTATAGTATGTGGAACTCTGTTAGCATCACGGCGACTCCTGGGTCGTGCATACAGCAGTGAGGAGGAGGTCATCTCTTTCGTCGCGATGATGGTTCCATTGGTTTGCATCACTGTGGTTACTGATGGTCTACAAGGAGTTATGTCAGGTTACAATTTTCTTTCATCTGAAAATGACTGTCAACACGTTCTAAAACTTATCTTTAATCATTGATCTAATTGGTATCTATAATAACTTCTGATGTTTACAAATGATGTAATCGCCACTTATTTAATTTGCATACTATTGTCGAGTGATAGGCAATTGCCACCATCGCCCAATCACAAATATGCTATGATACATTTGTTAACGGCTAGGTGCATCAGCGTTTACTAATATCTGTTCTTCATCAGGTATTGCTCGAGGTTGTGGATGGCAACATTTGGGCGCGTACGTCAACCTCGGCTCATTCTATTTGCTCGGAATTCCAATGGCGATCCTTCTTGGCTTTGTGCTACATATGGGAGCAAAAGGACTTTGGATGGGCATTGTCTGTGGTTCAATATCACAGATCACCCTTCTATCTGCTATCACATTTTTCACCAACTGGCAAAAGATGGTTTGTTCTTCATCTGAGCCCATCTTCACATACAATTCATACATGAAAACAAGCAAATGCAGATGAATCATTTCATGACTTGTACTGACATATCTCATAGTTCATTGCCCATTGTATGCAGGCTGAAAATGCTAGGGAGAGAGTGTTCAGTGAGAAGCCAACGGAGCCCTCCAGGTATCATCTAGTGGAGTAGTTCTACTCCAATTTTTGCTGGGGGCAGTGGGGTAAATCTCATCCCTCGGACGGTTGGACTTGCTCGCGAGAGTGACCATGCAGAGAAGGCATCAATAAACCACCCTTTTTTGTGTGTTTCATCACAGCACGAAATGAGCCAATCTTTCCTGAATTGGTTCATTTTTCACGTGTAGTTTTGCCCACAGGATAGGCAGGGTTGACAGTCGAGGGTTGCATCCCACGGAAAACGTTTGGCTAGGAAAAAAGGGGTCCTTTTGTGGATAGTAACAGAAATCTCAAGCTGTTTGGTTTTCTATTGTACTACCTCCTTTTTATATTTAGTTAAAGTCACCGTTGATCTGCTTATCCACAGCAAACAAAACAAGGATAGACTACATGTTTAGGGCCTGCGCAGCCGGCACAAACAGTGCCCCACTGAGTACGCAGCCGCAGCCGCAGCAGTCGGCGTGCCGAACAGGCCCTTAATTAATATCAGAAGGTTCAATGAAGCATCACAACGATCTTCTAATCAAGAAAAAAGGACAAATGCACCAACTCTCATACATGTTTCTCTTTGTTGTACAATGTGCATAGCCATTTCTTCAGTATTTCCACTACATAAAGAAGACTGCAACAGAAAAGCAGAACAATGAACATATTAGACCATACAGGCTACAGTACTAGATAACCATATGTCGTCGTTTCATCAGTAACTCTGTACGTATGCTGCAATGCATGTCCTTGTTCTGCTTTCAATAGTGGGCAGGCCCTTGCTAAGACATCCTCCAGGCTCCCCACCGAATGTAGCCTTTTTTCCAGCTTTAGTTTCACAGCCGGAACTTGCTGTGCATAAAAAAATGTGATGCTTAGTTTTTTCAAATGTGATCCTTCGTGCAGAGGACATATCACAATTCGATTTTGTTTTTTCAAGTGGTTACCTTTGATATCCAGAGAATGTAGAGGGCTGCAAGCTCAGTTTGAACACATGCCTCACCAAATTCATCGGCAGGAGCATTCAGGCGGTCTGACAGGAGGTATATCTCCTGGGCTAGGAAGAGGTCCACCAGCGAAGTGCCTGCAGCACACTCTGTTTCCTCACTGCTGAGCGAGAACTTCACCCACCATTGCGAGAGGAAAATACGATGGATCCACAAAGACTACACCAACGAATCAGCACAATCAACGCAAGGGAACAACATACACAATAAATTATGGATAAAATGTCAGAATCACGATGGCCAAACTTCAAACCTCTCTCCCTTGGTAGCGTCTGATAAGCATCTGATTCCACGTCAGTTCCTCCTGTCAGATGCAATTACTCAAGCACCAGAGAAATCAATGTTTGTGAAATAAAACAAAATGCACAGGCGAGCGCTCCTTGCGTATTCCCGAAAAAAAATGCACAGGCGAGTTTCTCCTTTGTAACAGATGTACAATGAAAAACAGAGGGAAAGATGGCACAAGGGGAACCATAGTGAAGCAGGTATAGATTCTAATGAAATACAACATACCTTCCACAGTAAATGAACTTCTGACTTCCTATCAAGGGAATCTTCTGTGTCCTCTACATGGCAACTGTCTAGTAATGCAAGCAGTAGGGACTGCAAACAATCAATAAAATGACATGTTTGAGACGGCTCAAACGATATGCCACAGGTTGTTCAATATGCAAATGTTGAGTGGGATACAAGTTTGCTTTTGAAGTAGTAATTAGTACTAGCTACACCAATAAGGGCAGGGACTAACCCGTCGGTAGTGAAAACAACAGTTGTCAGCGACATGTAACTCGTTCCATCTTGTTGATTTCTTTAACTCATTCAGAACCTTTAACAGAAATTAGATGCTGATGAGGATAAGCATGAACTGATAACAGACAGGCAGAAATTTTGTAGGGTTTTTGCAATATAACAAAAGTCCTGACCTAGCTACCATGGTGGTGCTCAGAAGTTTGCACATAAGATTAAGAAAAGTGGACAAAGAATTTTAAGCAGCTTGATTTTCCTTTACCCATACCTGTTCTCTTGTCATGTAGGGAATAAGCCAGCAGCGATGCCTCCACGCACGGTAGTTCATCTTTGATTTCTGCATACAAAGGATCAAACTATCTTGTTGTACACTGTTTATCACTACAAGCGTGAAGTGTCGAAGTTGATGAGTTCAGATAATTATCTGCTGCGAAAATGAAGGTTCAGAAAAGTAGATGGGAAAGGTTCTATTAACATCCCAAACAAGAAAAATATTTATGAGTATGACCTCTGCTATCTCTTTCACTAGTACAGATTCCCTCTCTATAAGCTCCGACACATCCTGGTTGTGTTCTGAAACCTTCTTGATCACCCATCTCCTGTAGTAGGCAATCAATTTAAAGTTTAAACTGTAAGTTATGTGGGCATGGACAAAATCAACATAAAATTTCAATGCTGCACAAATAAAATCTAGCTCCAACCAGTTCTTTTACAGCAGTCCTTGGGAGGTATTGAAAGGTAGATGATCCCCTAGTAAATAATCATGCCACATATATCTCACAATTAAACTAGACCAAGATATATAACAATACCTCCCAAGGACCATAAAAACTAATAACCATTTGTACGACTGCTGGATGTCATTCAATCTGCAGTAGAAGAGCGATGGGTATTCTAAAATAAGGGACAAGATTTCTTATTCTACCTGTTGGTCATAGGCATCCATTTTCTCCCTAAACGGATCCTTAAATTACTTAAGAGGTAACCTGAAAGAGTTTCCCAAACTCTATAATTTGGCAATCTGACATATGAAAATATAAGCTGTACCTATGGCTCCAGGTGCTTTCGTTTTTTGGTGAGCATGAAAGGATCAAGGCACACAATTGCAGCTCATCCTTGAGTTTAGTGAAATCATAATTCACTGATAGTACCATCTTCCTGCCAAAAGAAAAGAAGAATAAAACAACCATGTGGAATCCCTTCCAGCCAGGGATGGGCCTTAATTTCAACTCAATCAAAGTCACAGCCTTCTAGCTATGAAAGATGTGATCCTTTAGTGATACTGTGATAAGTTGACAGCATTACCTCGAATTCCATGCAGTGAGCATGTCAGGGCAAAGAATGAGCAATGCCTTGCTGTGCCTCATCAGATCAATTTCCATGAGTGGACCATCCTTGGCTGCTGCTGAATTGGAGTATGCATGCCGTGCAGCACGGTAGAGCTTAGGTAGGATTTCCATGGATATGGCAAGCTTGTGGTCTTTGCACCAGAGGTATCTCCGAGGACATTCAGGTGCTTGAGATGTCCAATAACCAGTTTGGCTGTGTTCTAGCGACTGGAACTATGTTGGGTGCAAGAACCCCACTTCATCTCTGCATGAATGTTCATCAGGGAGAATTAAAGACAGCCAAATTAGGCAGGAAATGAAATTTCAAAGAATATGTGTTGCAAAATGCAAGAAATGAGGACGAGTGCGGCGAAATATTTGAAATGAACCAAATGTGGTTACATGAGGGGGTCTTGATGGAGGATTTCCTCGAAGTGGTGGAGGATACCCTCCCCGAGCTGCGCCACTTCCTCTTGATCGGCCACCAAAGCTGTCACTGCTTCTTGTTCCATTGCCCCACCTCGCTCTTCTCTGTTGTTGCGAAATCTGTGCTGGTGGGGGTATCTGCGTCGTACCAGATCCACCCCGGCCAGTGGCGGATACACCTAGGATCTTTACCTTGTGTGCTGACACAAGCTTCAAGTGCCAAATCAAAATCTTCATGCCCACAAATACAATAAAAGTTCTTAATTAATCAAAACTACAGCACAAATAGTTCGAATCAAGTTTTACATAGCACAAACGATGAAATCCAATGACATCTATCAGCGCAGGCGGCGGAGGCGGAGGATGTGCTCACCAGGATGCGGCGGAAGCGGTAGGACGAACGACGACACCCCTGCTCGCTCGTGGGATGGATGGAGATCGGCGGCGGCGGCGGCGGAGGATGTGTTCACGGGGATGCAGCTGAACTCTGAAGCAGCAGGACAAACAACGACACCCCTGCTGAAATTTTTACAATTTGGTCCTTTTTGAAAACTTATTTTACAAATAGACCCCTGAAAAAACTTAAACCGGAAATGGTCCTTTTTGGGGCGCCAGAGTGGCTGGCGCCGTACCCCAACATGGCGGCGCCAGCCACACTGGCGCCGTGCCCGTGCCACCGTGGCACTAGGGCTGTCGTGGAGGTGCTGACTGGGCAGAATGGGGGCACCAGCCACACTAGCGCCGCCCCTCATACCACGGCGCCAGCATGGCTGGCGCGCCCCTCCTCTGTGGGCCGACCCTTAAACCCCGTGGGCCCCACCACCTTTCTCCTCCCCACTCCCATTTTCGCCATGTCCCAGCCCGAGCAGCAGCGCAGGAGTTCTTCCCCTCTCTCTCCCCCTCACCTCTCCACCTCAAATCCACTCAATTTGAAGCCGTTTTTCGCGGGATTTTTTGTGGAAATCGAAGAGAAAGGTAGACTCCTTCATTCCCCCCTCTTTTTTTTCGTTTTTATTGATTGAATTTGTAGATCGGTGGGTAACCCTAGATCCCCTTTTTTACCTAAATTTATGATTTTTAGCATTTGTTCTTAGGATTGGCTTGTTGTAGTGCTACATGTTTGCAATGTACTCATTGGTGTCATGATTTTTTTAACCATATATGTGGTAATGTTAATTTTTGGATGGTTTGGTTGGATGGATGGATGAAAAATTATGGTTGAGGCATGACGGAGGTTTGGGTTGTATGACGGAGTATTTGTAATATTTCGATGTGTAATGCACTAGTAAACTTGTTGATAGCTATAGGTGGATTAAATATTTTTTTGGAGTAGTAGCTTTGGGACAATTTAAGTTATGCATTGGTTATAATATGTCGGTTTGGACTACGTTTAGGAATAAAGATTTAATTTTTGTTGCAAAGTTACATTTGATTTTTTGGTGTAGATGGATAGACTTGTTCGTGTTTACTACGGTGGTAGAGTGGTGGAACCTTATGTTGGTGCACATGTTGAGTTTGAGGATATGTCATTGAAGACCATTTTGTTTCCCACCCACCCAACTCTAGATGAACTAAGGTCACGAGTGAAAGAAGTTCTTGGATGGACCGAGGATAATGTGGAGATTCGTTTTTATGGGAGATACGATGTTGGTCAAGGGCATAAGTATATATTAAATGTGATAGGTCAGTTGGAATGGGAAGTTTACTTTGATTTGGTAAAAGAGTCTCAGTTTAGATCTCTAGAGGTGTTTGCATCAAAGTTAGTTCGTACCGTAGAAAATTTGGATCTAAACAAATCTCCTTCTTATCATTACGTTGAGAAGAATTTTGTGACATATTATTCTCGTCGTGGAGGGGGTGCAAGTAAGACTGAGTTGGTACAAGAAGACTTGGAGGGGGAAGGAGAGAAGAAGAGACCTTTGCTTGGAAATGATTTATGGGAGGCAGGACCATCAAAGAGACATTGCGGTACTGATGATGTGGATGCAGCGAGGGTGATGAAAAGGGAGTTAGTACAAAAGGGGCTTGATCTAAGTGAACATTTGTCGGCGAGTGTTCATTGGTCGTCGTACGGAGTCAACCCTAAATACCCGACAGAAGTAGCAGGCCAATATATGAATCCAGATGATTACTTTGATGTCGAATTGAGTGGTGGTCACGATTCTGTCTTAGTAGAAGTCAATAGAGATGATGTTGACAAGGAGGCAAGTGTTGAGCAATATGATGTTGAATTTGCTGAAGACTCTGATGATGACTATCCATTCCCTCCACTTACTAATAATGACAAGTTAGCATTAGAGGAATGTCGTGCGTTTGAGAAGGTGTTTGGGAGGAAGCCGGACATTCCTGAGTTTAGGGACCTAACACATGCCCATGGTGCACTACTAGATGGCGGCATCAACCTAGATCAGTTGCCAGAACCATTCCAGGTGGATGGTCTCAGAAAGGGTTTAGAGTTCCCATCCATGGTCGCATTGAAGCTATGGCTCCAGGAGTACGCCATCGTGCACCATCGTCCATACCGTGTTGTCAATTCTGCCGCAAATAGGAGGTACACTGTTAAATGTGAAAACCCACGGTGCAAATGGAAGGTCCATGCAACTAAGAGGTCTAGTGGCACGTGGAGGATATCATGGGTAGGTAAGGAACATAGTTGTGCTACTGCCGAAGGTTCAGGGAGCCACCGGCAGCTGACATTAAAGTTCATAGCAAATAGGTTATGCAATGCCATAAAACTGCAACCTACACTCTCTGCTTCTGCGTTAGCTTTGTATATATTTGAGGTTTTCCAGTATAGGGTGAAATATGGCAAGGCTTAGAGGGCACGAGAGGAGGCTATGAAGCTCATTTACGGTGAATGGGGTGAAGCGTATGTCCGTTTGCCCACTTTGCTGCAAGCCATTAAGCAGAGGAATCCCAGTATGGTCTACCACATCGATACTCATCCTGATAGGGTTGTCAACGTTGATGGAGTGACCAAGAAAATTTTTATGCGTGCATTCTGGTGCTTTGGTCCTTCCATTGAGGCTTTTAAGCATTGTAGGCCAGTACTAGCTATAGATGCAACCTTCCTAACTGGGAAATACGGTGGTGCCTTGATGACTGCATTATCAGCTGATGCGGAGGACCAACTTGTACCTTTAGCTTTTGCCTTGGTGGAGAAAGAGAATTCACGAGACTGGTGCTGGTTTATCGATCTTGTCCGACGGGTTGTGGTTGGGCCGCATAGGGAGGTTTGTATTATCTCAGATCGACATGCTGGTATAATGAATGCCATGACGACTCCTGTTCCAGGATTGCCACCGGTTCACCACCGGTGGTGCATGAGGCACTTCAGTGCTAATTTCCACAAGGCCGGTGCAGACAAGCATCAGACAAAAGAGCTCCTAAGGATATGTCAGATTGACGAGAAGTGGATATTTGAGAGGGATGTTGAGGCACTAAGGCAGCGTATTCCCGAAGGTCCTCGTAAATGGCTTGAAGATGAGTTGTTGGATAAAGATAAGTGGTCTCGTGCATACGATAGAAATGGCCGCCGGTGGGGTTACATGACAACCAACATGGCCGAACAGTTCAATAACGTGCTAGTTGGTGTTCGTAAGCTTCCAGTGACGGCCATAGTATCATTTACGTTCATGAAGTGCAATGACTACTTTGTGAACAGACATGATGAAGCTTTGAAGCGAGTCCAGTTAGGGCAGCGTTGGTCCACCAAGGTTGATAGTAAGATGAAGGTGCAAAAAAGTAAGGCGAACAAACACACTGCAAGGTGTTTCGATAAGCAGAAAAAGACATACGAGGTCACAGAAAGGTGTGGTATAACGCGTGGTGGTGTTAGATTCGGCGCAAGAGCCTTCAAAGTTGAAGGTGAGGGGAACTCATGTTCTTGCCAAAGACCATTGCTCTACCATATGCCTTGCTCACATCTTATACACGTTTATCTGATTCATGCAATTGATGAGGAATCTCCCAACCGAATGCCGTATCAGTTCTCTTCAAGAGCCGTTGTGAACACATGGGCAAGTCGCTTTGAGCCATACCTCGACCCCACATAGTGGCTACCGTACGATGGTGAAGAATTTGTTGCTGACCCAAATTTGAAGATTAAAACAAGAGGGAAGAGGAGATCGAAACGATTCAAGAACGAAATGGACTCAGGTCTGGGTGGTTCTGGAAGGAAACCACCTTCATGCGTTCAACTTGATGCTGCGCCGGTGCAAAATAGATGCTCGTTGTGTCACCAGGAGGGTCACAAGAAAACTAAGTGTCCTAAGCGTCCAAAAAAGAAGAAGTCCAAAAAAAATATAAGTGTTAGGGAGGTAAATATTTTGTTTTCCTACTCATGTTCTCGCATTCATTTTCTTTTAATATATGTCACATTGGTAACTAACGGTGAATTTATTACTTTTTCATGTAGGATGGCCGAGGAGGGACAACCACCGACTTACCCAGCCTTGGAGGCGTACTACGAGGCCCGTCATCGCGGGGCTGCGATCGAGGCGGGGAGGGTATGAATCGGCATTGATTCACTTGTGCATAAGTATCGGTAGCGTGTATTTGACATTATATTAACTAATTGATTTACAATTGCTAATGCAGGTACTTCAACCGCTCCGAGTCAGAGCTCATGCCCCTCCAGTGTTCGACGATAGGTACATCCCGTACCTAAGGGCTGCCGGGTTGCTCGGGGTGGCCTTGGTCGTGAGCAGAGGAATGCCAGTGTTCAACGCTCCTGCGTTGACAGCACTTGTGGACAGATGGAGGCCTGAGACACACAGCTTCCACCTCCCTAGTGGTGAGATGACCATCACTCTACAGGATGTGGCTATGATCTTGGCCCTCCCATTACGGGGGCATGCCGTGACGGGCAGGACAGAGACTCCTGGATGGCATGCACAAGTGCAGCAGCTATTTGGCATTCCACTGAACATTGAGCAGGGGCAAGGGGGAAGAAGAAGCAGAATGGAATACCCCTGTCTTGGCTGAGTCAGAACTTCTCACATCTTGACGACGATGCTGAGCCATGGCGTATTGAGTGTTATGCCCATGCATACATCTTGCACTTGTTGGGAGGAGTTCTGTTTCCTGATGCTGGGGGTGACATTGCTTCGGCGATATGGATTCCTTTGGTCGCCAACCTTGGTGATCTGGGCCGTTTCAGTTGGGGCTCAGCAGTGTTGGCGTGGACATATAGACAGCTCTGTGAGGCCTGTTGTCGTCAGGCACCATCATCCAACATGAGTGGTTGTGTGCTATTGATTCAGATGTGGATGTGGTTAAGACTACCGGTTGGAAGGCCTAAGTGGAGGCAAAGCTTCACTCCTTGGCCCTACAATGAGCCAGACATGGAGAAGACAGTGGCCTACCTTTTTGAGAGTACTGCCACTGCACATGCTCACCGGGATGTGGCATACAAGCATTATGTCAATGAGATGGACTGCTTACAGCCTCAACATGTAAGTACTTCCAATATCACTTCTAGTTAGACATTTACTTCTTTAATTGAGATACTAA